CCCAGCTACTTGGGAGGCGGAGGCAGGAGACTGGCTTGAGCCCAGGAGTTGGAGGTTGCTGTGAGCGTGATGCCATGGCACTCTACCCAGGGGGACAGCTTGAGGTTCCGTCTCAAAAAAAAAAAGAAAAAAGAAAAGAAAAGAAATGGTGCAAAGACTTTCAGCAGAAATGGGCTTGCCACCTTCCTTTGCCAGGTTAAAAGACCCTGGCTTTTAACTCCTCTTCCCCAGGTTCAGGGAGATTACTATGGAGATCTCGCTGCTCGCCTGGGCTATTTCCCCAGTAGCATTGTCCGAGAGGACCAGACCCTGAAACCTGGCAAGATCGATATGAAGACAGATGTGAGTGTCATGAGGGCTGGCAAGAACTTGGAGGGAGGAAATAGGTTGTGGTAATGGGCAAAGATGCTCCTACCCTGGGCTCCCAAGGTGTGTGTACTGGACAAATTCTTTCCCAATCTCAATTTTATCACTACCTGTAAAATGGGTCTACTTTGGAGGTACAAAGATTAAAGGGCTCTAGGCTAATTTGTGTGGCCAAACCTGGCCTATGTGGCTACTGCCTTTGCTAAATCTAGCGTTTGCTAGATCCTTTGTGGTCTAACTGCTGGTTTTCTCTCCACTGTTTCCCCTTTCTCTTTTTCAGAAATGGGATTTCTACTGCCAGTGAGCTTTGCCTACTGCTGTCCCTGCCGGTTTTCCTCCCTGACTTTATGCAAATACATCGACTAAGTGCAAACTGCCTCTCGCTGTCGTCTTTGGGGTGGGGAACGTCCGAAGGAAATGTTTCTCCAGGTTCCTGAATCTAGCCAATCAACCCCACTGAATGTGGTAACGCAATCGTTGCTAGGCAGATGTTACTGACGAGAGCCCTTAGCTCCAAGCCGGGTACTTAGGTCGGGTTCCTAAGCTTAGATCTTAGATACATCGAAGGAGAACCCTAAACACCACAACTGGGGCGTTATCCTTCCCATTGGTCTTTAGAGGACACTACAATGAGAATGAGCCATTCGGACCACGAGGAGGACAAAAATAGCAGAGCAAAGGTTTCCTTGAAAGAGTATCTGCAAAGGGAAGTTAGAGGCAACTTGTGCGTATCCCCACCCCACCTCCCCCCAATTTTCCTTTTCTTGCCTTTGAGGCCCAAAACCTCTCCCGACACCTCAAGATCGCCTCTCTTGCAGGTTCTGTCAATCCTGCTCCTGTTCCCTGATTTGCATTCATATCCCCGCCCCCACGTCCGCTGCTACCCAATCCAGAGACTCTGCTCTGCCCCCAGACTGCTGACCAAATCCGTTCCTCAGCTCGGGGAAGCATCTCTGTGCTGTCCTTTTCTGTTTGCTCAACCAATCGCTCCTCTTGGTTCCGCCCCTTTTTACTCGATCCTCTCTCACTACCAATCCGCGCCTTTTGTCTTGCCTCCCGCCCGCGAGTTCTCCATTCCCTCCCTCTGGAAGGCGTGGCCTGGTATCCCGCAGCCTTAGCGGGTCGCGCCGGAGGGGGGGGTGAAGGCGGAAGTGGCGGCGCCGGGCCCGGGGAATAGGAAGGAGCCGGGGCTGCAGCCGGAGTGGAGCGGCTGCCAGCCGAGGAGCAGGCGCGGCCGCGGCGCCATATTGCGGCCCTTAGCGGCCGCGATCGAGTCATGGCCGAGACCTACGGTGAGGGTGGTTGGCCAAAGCCAGGGTCTGGGGTCTCGACCGAGAAAGGATGCGGCCTACGGGAACGGGGCGGAGCTTTATACACGAAGGGGCGGAGTCTGCTGTTTGGGGGCAGGGCCTAAGTGGATGCTGGGAGGGATCTAGTGGGTCTGGGGCGGAACCTAATCGATTTGGGTGGAGCCTGAGGGTCTGGTGCATGGGTAAAATAGATCCAGGCGGGATTTGAGGGAGCTGGTCTTGGGGGATTCCGGGTAGATGTTGAGGGAAAACGTGAGCTTTAATGATCAGGGCGGAGCCTGCGTGAATGGGACTGGACAGAGTATGAATGAGGCGGAGCTGACTGTAAATGTCAGAGGTCAACCCTGAATGGATACTCTGGACCTTGGGGCAGATCTGACTTGAGAAATCTGGAATGGGGTTGGGAATGGATTGTCCTCGAATTAGTGGTGGTATTTAGTTGCAGGGAGAGGGGCTTAAGCTTGAGAATAGGGACAAGATCCTGAGCAAAGAGAGGGAAAGAAAGGTTGAGAATTGGAAAATCGCTCGGTGCTCATAGCCCAGTGGTTAGGGTGCAAGCGACATACCACCGAGGCAAGCAGGTTCGAACCCGGCCCGGGGCCTGCTAAAGAACAGTGACAACTGCATCAAAAAATAGGCGGGTGTTGTGGCAGGCGCCTGTAGTGCCAGCTACTTGAAAGGCTGAGGCGAGAGAATCACTTAAGCCCAAGAGTTTGAGCTTGCTGTGAGCTGTGACTCTACAGCATTCTACTAGGGCGACAGTGAGACGCTATCTCAGAAAAAAAAAAAGAGAGAATTGGAAAATCATTATCAAAGCATGAAAAATTATGTACAAAACGAGGTGGTAGTGGTGGGGAAGTTCAGACTTAGAAGTCAAAGGGAGCTGCATTATTTCAACAAATACACAAAAGGAGGGGGAACATGTCTGAACACCCTGAGGTGAGAACCAGCTTGTCGTTTTGAGGGAATAAACTGAAGACCTAAGACTATAGTGTAGTGAAAGAGTTAGAGGATGGTAGGAGGAGAGGGGTCTAGATTGTAGTCCTTGATAAATGGCTTTGAAGAGCTATTAAATGTAATAGCTAAGAATTGGATTCTGGAGCCCCCTGGCCTGGCTTTTGAACTTAAACTCTGCCTAATTGTATTACCTTCCACAAGTCAGTTAACCTCTTTGGCCTCAGTTTTGTCATCTGGAAAATGAGGATAATTTTTAGTATACCTCCCTCATAGAGTTTTCCTGAGGATTAAGTGAGCCATTAATATATATAAAAACCTTTAGAACTGTGCCTGGCCCATGGTAAGCACTGCATAAGCATAATTTGTTACTTTATTCTGTTGCTTTATTTCTGCCTGTGCCTCTTTTTCTCTCTCTAACTGTGTTGGTTTCTTGGTTTCTATTTTTTTCACTGTGTCTTTCTTTCCCTGGGGTCTCTCTGATTTTGGCTTCATCTTGTCAGACTTCCTCTTCAAATTCCTGGTGATTGGCAGTGCAGGAACTGGCAAATCATGTCTCCTTCATCAGTTCATTGAGAATAAGTGTGAGTTTCTGGCAGTGGTCCTGGGACCACTGAGCTGTGGTGATGGGCATGGTGTGGACAGGGGAGTGGTGGGCAGCTGGTGAAGTGGGCAGGGCTGGCCATAGGTACAACTCCAGTGCTGGTTTCTTGGTTCTTGCCTTGCTAGGTTCTCTTTGACTTTGCTCACCTCCACAGTGGGAATGGGTTTGTAGAGACTGAGAAGGCCTCGGAGGATGGGGGATCTTCTGAGCCCCTCCTCTGTCTCCTCTCCCCCTCCCTCCCAGTCAAACAGGACTCTAACCACACGATTGGCGTGGAGTTTGGATCCCGGGTGGTCAACGTTGGTGGGAAGACTGTGAAGCTACAGATTTGGGACACAGCTGGCCAGGAGCGGTTTAGGTAGGTGGGCTGGGTTCCCAAGGGAGGATGAGGAAAAGAGGAGGGAGAGGGAGATATGTGCAGAGTCACTCAGAGACTCGGAGTGAGAGAACAGGTGAGGCAGGAGAGAAATAGAGACCATGGTTAGCAGGTATATAGCCAAGGATAGAGGAGATCCTAGAGAGAAGAAGAGGTAGAAAAAGTGAGGCTAGGGATGGGGTGAGAGTAGAGATTAAGACACACTAAAACAGTAAAAGAGGAGGAAACATGAGAGGCACACTCACAATGGGAATGAGAAAGAGACAGAGTAAGAGAGATGATGAGAATGATAAAGGAGGAAAGGAGACACAAAGAAAAACAGAGGTCAGAAGCAGAGAGAGACAGGGAGAGTCTAACAGGTGTAACCACAGAGATGGAGAAATGGGCATGTTGTGGGAAGAAAGGTGTGTAGGTCTTCTGCAAAAAAGTTGATAGACACAAAGAAACCTTGAGAAGAATCTGAGAAATATAGAGACAGAGAACAGGGAGAAAAACAGAGGGAATTCAATCCATGGAAAAGTGTGGTTTCTGGGCAGCAATGAATAGCTGCTAAATTAACCCTCATGTATTGGTTGACTGCATGAGGCATGTGGAGCCCAGAGACAGAGAGAGAAGGTAAAGGAGAGACAAGAGTGTGACATGGGCCAGGTCCACAGTAAGTGCCCAGTAAATGCCTGTGGAATGATTACATGACTTCTAGAGGACTCAGACTAGTGAGATAGGGGAATGTAGAGAGTAGGCTATACTGGGAAGGAGGCCTCCATCAACATAGCAGGAGAGGGACTAGCAGATGCTGCATAGCACTAGGACAGGACAAGGGGAGATGCTTATAAAATGCTGAATGGATGAGTGGATGAAATAATGGGAAGGCAAGGATGAGGATGAGAGACCCAGGGCCAGAGTGACAGAACTGAAAAAGAGACAAGGTGGAACCTGCAGCTCAGTGGATAGGGTGCTAGCCACATGCACCAGGGCTGGTGGGTTTGAACCCAGCCCAGGCCTGCTAAAACAAAAAAATAGCTGGGTGTTGTGGTGGGCACCTGTAGTCCCAACTACTCGGGAGGCTGAGGCAAGAGAATCACTTGAGCCTAAGAGTTTGAGGTTGCTGTGAGCTGTGATGCCATGACACTCTACTGAGGGCAACACAGTGAGACTCTCTCAATTAAAAAAAAGAAAAAGAAAAAGAGATGAAAGAAACAGAGAATTAAAGACACACACACACAAAAGACACAGAGAAAGAAACAGACCAATGAAGAGGTACAGAAAAGGCTGTGCACCCGTAGCTCAGTTTTAAGGGCAATGGGCACATGCTCTGGGGCTCATGGGTTTGAACCTGGCTTGGGCCTTTTAAACAAAAAAGGCAAAACAAAACAAAAAAATAGCTGGGCGTTGTGGTGGGTGCCTGTAGTACCACCTACTGGGGAGGCTGAGGCAAGAGAATTTCTTGAGCCCAAGAGTAGGTAGTTGCTGTGAGATATGATGCCAGAGCACCCAATTGAGGATGACAAAGTGAGACTCTGTCTCAATTAAAAAAAAAAAAAAAAAAGAAGAGGTACGAAAAGACAGAGACACAAAGAGAGACTAAGACAAGGAGATTCAGAGACAGACAGAGGCAGACAGACAGCTAAATGCGACAGAGGCTGAGAGGCAAAGAGAAAAACTACAAGGCAGAGACAAAAATTGTATGGTGACTAGACTAAGGCCAGGTTTGGGGGGATGGGCCAGCAGGAAAAGGGGGCCTCCGAACCACCAGTCTTTCTCCACAGAGGGGGGCAGTCTCGGGGCAGACCCCAGCCTTAGGGGTGACTGGATCCCCCTGGCTCCACAGGTCAGTGACACGGAGTTATTACCGAGGGGCGGCTGGAGCCCTGCTGGTGTACGACATCACCAGGTAGGTGTACAGAGGAGATGGGGCAGGGCAAGGCATGGGTGGCCACTCTCCTGTGCTGCCTCCCTCCTCTCACCCTTCTCCACAGCCGGGAGACATACAACTCATTGGCTGCCTGGTTGACTGACGCCCGCACTCTGGCCAGTCCCAATATCGTGGTCATCCTCTGTGGCAACAAGAAAGACCTGGACCCTGAGCGGGAGGTCACTTTCTTGGAGGCTTCCCGCTTTGCCCAGGAGAA